GGTTATTCATCCCCAGGTTCAGGATCCTACACTTGCCCTTATTGAACCTCATTAGATTCCTCTCTGGCCAGCTCCCAGACCTGTCCAGGTCTCACTGAATGGCAGCACAGCCTTCTGGTGTGTCAGCCACTCCTCCCAGTTTAGTATCATCAGCAAACTTGCTGAGGGTGCATTCTGTCCCTTCATCCAGGTCTTTGATGAATATACTGAGTAAGACTGGACCCAATACTAGTCACAGGCCTCCAGCTAGACACAGCACCACTGATCACAACTCTCCCAGCTCTGTCCTTCAGCCAGTTCTCAACCCACCTCACCGGCCAGTCATCTATCCCACACTTCCTAAGCTTATCTATGAGGATGTGGTGAGAGATAGCATCAAAAGCTTTGCTAAAGCCAAGGTAGACCACATCCATTGCCTTCCCCTCATCCACCCAGCCAGTCATGCCATCATAGAAGGCCATTAGGTTGGTCAGGCATGATTTCCCCTTAGTGAATCCATGCTGACTACTGCTTATAATCCTCTTTTCCTCCACCTGTTTAGAGATAACAGCCAGAATGAGCTGTTCCACCACCTTTCCAGGGATGGAGGTGAGGCTGACTGGTCTGTAGTTACCTGGATCCTCCTTTTTGCTCTTTTTGAAGGCTGGAGGGACATTGGCTTTCCTCTAGTCCTCAGGCACCTCTCCTGTCCTCCATGGCTTGTCAAAGATGATGGAGAGTGGCTTAGCAATAACATCTGCCAGCTCCCTCAGCACTTGTGGGTGCATCCCATTGGGGCCCATGGATTTATGAGTGTCCAGTCTGGCTAAAAGATCCCTAACCCCATCCTCCTTGATCAAGGGGCAGTCTTCCTTGCTCCAGACTTCCTCTCCTACTGCCAAGGTCTGGGATTCCTGAGGACCAGCCTTAGCAGTAAGGGTCTATATGGACCAGTCCTCAGTCTAACCGACACACTTCACTTCAACAGAGTCTGCATTTTGGTGCTTGATAAAATATAGCTATAGACCTCTGGCAAGGACTGCCTTCCAGAAGTCATTCATCAGTGCTCAAAGGCCATGAAATTTCGGGTGGACAGATACACCTATGACCTCTGATTTTATGTGGGACCTGATGACTATACTATATTTAATGTCATTCTGACCTGAAATGGGTCTTAAAAAATGCTGAATTTAGTACTATTTTACTTTAAAACAATCCACCATAATTCTTCAGGTGTCATATTCTCAACCATGGTTTTATTCATATCATGGAGCCCTGGACTCAACAGCTTTAAATGCAGGAAATAAGGAACCTCAGTAACACATATGCTTCAAAATTAATTAATCAGAGAAAAAATACTTCAAGCTGCCAAGTCACATCTAAAATACCTCAGAACAAAATAAGCCATAGAAATATGTCTAGATATTAACTGAAACACTCCAGCCCTAAGTCCTGGACCAAACATGAGGATTATCTGTTTTTCTGTAATGCTTTTCTTTTAAATGCTTGAACTCATCTTCTGTCCAGCCTCAAGTCCTTACAACTCCTATCCACAATCCTTTTCATGCAAGAAACTGCATGGTGTTCTTTCTGTTACTATAATTTAAACCTGCTCACAAAATCCAGAAATACCATTCTGTATTTTCTCTAAATATATACGACTCCACTCCTACTATTATTGTATATAAACACATTTTGATAGAACCTTCCATTGCACACTCAAAAACTGAATGACTGTTGCAGTATTAAAATGTCTGAACGAAAAAAATCCCTAGGAAAATTGTACCAAGGTATGCAAGACTGCTCCCACGTGAATTTTGTCTGATTTGCTTAAAATACAAAGAAAAAAAAAAAGCAATAGTCAATGATAATGTCAATATTGTGTATAGTGTTGGTGTGCTGGGTATGGCTTTGCACTTTGTTATCCTGAGTAATTCATAGTCATTTTTTAAAAGAGTAGAAAATCTGTTGATGAGAGTCACAGTGGCATGCCCAGTGCTTCACCTGTCCATTGGATAAAAGTCACATAGATGAGAGGTAGAGACAGAATATTTGTGGTCACCACAAATATTTGGTCCCTGGTATGACTAGTCCTCCACAAGAGGAGAAGTAAGTAGCTGAATCATAAATCCTGAAAAATTTCTAAGTCAAAATTTTACTACTGAAGGATCATTCACGAATAGAGATCACAATGTACTCAGAGGCAGCATTGCTGTCTGAACAAAAAACGTGTACAAGAATTCCACTGTAGCGATCATAATTTAAAAGTCAAATAAAATATGTAGGTATGATATTAAAATAGTTATTAAAAAAGATTTAAAAATCAAAGCAGCTACCAAAAGGATAAAACAGTTGTGACTGCTTAAGAGAGTAATGTTTCAGAGAGGCTGCGCATCATCTTATAAAAAGACTGAAAGAGATCAATAAATACTGGGATGTTCAAAGAGCAGTGCAAAGCACTGAAAAAAGAAATAAGGAGGGAAAAATCTTCAAAGACAGAAAGTTGCATTCAAACACAGTCTAGAGGAAAAAAGAAAGAAAAAAAATCTAGCCCATAATATGAAAATGTCATATATTAGGCCAAGAAAGACTTTCAGAAAAAACCTTGCTAAAATTTCTTACAACTAGAAGCCTATGGGGACATAAAAAAGATACATGAAGAGGAGGAGACTGAAAATTAATTCCTCACTTCAAGAGGTTCTCACACTGGCAAAGAAAAAATTTGGAGGAACTGTCTTGAGTACAGTGTCAATAAGACAGATTTGAGAACAAATGGGCAAATAAAGTGCAAGGAATAAATAAAGTTGTAAAGCAATTCCAGTGTGAAAGCGCCATACTATGAATTGTGGTATGTAACTTACTCCATCAGACACGACCAGCACCGGCAGAACAAGAAGTGGAAACTGTAGGGTAGGTTTTACTGCAGGATCCTGAAGGGGACCAGGAATCACAAATTACTACATCTGACCTTTCAAGCTGTGCAAAGTAGTAGGATCAAATTATACTAAAGAACAGAATTAGTAAACGTTGGGACAAATAGGGAACGGCTTTTGAAAGGGCACTCATGCCTGACAAATCTTTCACAGTTATTTTAAAGAGTCAGTGATGCAAGAAAGCTGGCTGATACAGCAGATGTAGGTTATGTTTAAACTAGCAATATTCAGATTTTTTGGCATCTAGGAACACACATTAGATGAAATCAAGTGAGAATCAACAGACCATCTTATGTGAGGCTCAGTGTTGTTTTTTCTCCCACCAAGTCCCTAAATGCACGACCAGGGATAACAAAATGAGGCTGCATCACACACTGTAAAGTTCAGTGGATGTGCAGCC